AGCGCATTTGGTGGTCGGATCATGGATTGGGATTGCCGCAACCGCTCGCGGCTTTCTGGCTTTCTTGTTATACCATCGCTTGCTCGTCAGAATTAAATAGATCGCAACAATGCTTATTAATGGGATGTGGCGATAGATGATGTTTTCTGCGCGATTCCACTCCAACATGCTGCCTGTGTACAGAGAGCAAGGTTACTCAGGCGCATTTACCAAAGTATCGCCTTTTGCATTATCTGTCTGTGGCGAGCGTTTCATTAGGTCGATGTGATTATGCGCGTACTGCGAAGTGAAACAGTTATTATATACCATAATTTGTATCTTCCAGAAGCATAACATTCAAGAGCATCGACGCTATGGGATTAGCAAGTAAGCATAGTTTAGCAACAGGTGTACAATATACTACTGACACAAATTTCACACCATACGAGTGTTGCGGAAACCAGCGCCTGGCTCATTCGAAATTCAGCATATTCCAAATGAGTTCTAGCCCACTGCAGACGATATGTGATGCGCACTGGCTTCACCGACATGCGGACAACGATATCACCCAAAAGCAGAGATCATTGTGCATTGTCTGTTGTCTAGCAGAAATTCCAAATGACTTAAACATCCCCAATATTCACCTTAAACAGCCACGAGGGTGGTATCGAAACGTTTTGATCTTTTTCCACACATTTTGATATGTAACGCGCATGGTTATATCAAAATTCACGAAATGCGAGCGGAAGGAATTAGCGAACACAGCTTGTGCGATAACATTAAGGTAGTGGCAACTAATTTTTGAACCGCGGATCGACTGGCCGATTTGGACTTTTTTGTCTTACATTTTAGTGCAAACTGCGCCACAGTGCTTAAGATAAACCAATACGAACCATAGAATAGTCTGCAGTGAGGATTTGCTTCAGGCTTGTAATAATTGACCACTTCAACGATAAATCCTGCCAGGCCCAACGTGTGCGGCCAACAGAAGGCTCCAAAGCACATCCAAGCCGCGACGACCTTATTGTGCCGGTCGCGATACGGTACTGGATATTGAATAGCCCACCAGCGGTTTATCGCAATCAGAACGTGCAGTGAAACGGGTACAGCATTAAATACTTTAGTGATATACAAACTGAATACGCATAGGGGACTTCCCAGTGTCCAGTTCCCCTTCCAGTCCCGAAGAATGGAGAGTGGCCAGGTGGTGAATAGAAACACTAAATTGGAAATATACAAGGCTAACAAGTACAGAGTAAAAGGAGAAATGTGCTTGGGACGGATGATGTGGTAGATGATGACACCAGCGTTCAGCCCGACAGATGCAGCAGTTAATATCATCTTGACCCAGTTGACTGCGGCTGACTGAACAGCGCTTTCGGGCTGACGATTGTAAAAGGGCATGGATACATTACTCGTAGAGTTCGCACCAATATTAAAGAATTCCATCTTTTTCATATTCTTCGTTGATATGCCATAAGCACGAGTTCTTGAAACTTTTTTCGGCAGCAGCTAATAACAGCCGGCGACGATATTGCACCCCAGAGTCTGGTATACGGAAATCGTCGCACACGTTGCAGCACGTTTTAAGCAACGTGTGTGCTGTCCGATCGGGGATAGGTAGCGGTAGGATGCAGGAGTGATACAATTTCATCGCGCGCCTACAGTACAAGTGGTTAGGCTTTAGCAGGACTGATGTATATCGTGAATCATCAAGATAATCGTGCTTAAGTGGAAAATGTGTTATTATCAAGAAATTTTGTTGGGAAAAATTAAGAATGCACTGGTATTGAGTAAAAATGAGCAACAGGAACGGCTCTTTCCCGCCTATTGTGTTTATGGACAAGGTCGCTCTATCAAGCACTGGCTAAAATGACGCTTTTGCATGCGTTTACCCGTGGAAGAATATGCCGTTTCTGGTAAGTAATCTTAAGCGGAAAAATTCCTGTTGATAGTCTTGTTCTCACGGCTTCCTGCTTGACGGGCTTCTTGTCTTCTTTAAGCTTGTAGCGCTGATACAGATGTCGGATTTCTTCTGATTTGTCGTACCTGGATGCCGTGACACATCCTATCTGCGCTTTCAAATTAATTTTACTAGCCAACAAGCGCAAACCATATTAATATGTTTCCATTTCTTATGTCTTCGTGGAAAGTGCCGGTGGGTTAATTATTCAGTACAGCGAACAGGGATTGTCCTCAATGTCAACAGAGTAATCCAGATTAAAAAGGCCAAGACAGTATTCTGTCATGGATCTATTGGCTGACGGCAACGGTTAATTAAACCCGTTAGCAGGTCGACAGCAGCTCGAGCTCGTTAAAATGTTCATAAGCCCAACCGAATACCAGGCGAGATAACCGAGGTTCATTCCTATGATCTAGCATTTTGCCGGATTGCAGCGGATTTTTTAATAGGGTACTTCTCACACAGTAGTTGAATTTTGAAAATCGCAGGAAACTTTGTTTCTGCATGCTTACTTCCAGAGGCGTCTATTTGGAAATTTGGAAACTAGAAATTCAATTTGGACGAGAATTTCGGAAATTTAAAATTAGGAAAACTTTATGAACATAATGCTGATTTATGTTCGCTCAACCCTTGTGCCCATTTTAAACCGCCATGTGTTGGAAACCGGATTTGCGCACGTGTTAAACGGTTTTTAGGTCAACGTATACCAATCATTCAACTATGAAAGAAAGAAATCGCTCTATAACTTAGATGTTCTAGACTGCGCGTGCCACAGAGAAGGTAAAAATGTCAAAGGTCAAAAGAGCCGCATCAGCCTCTTTGCCGTAATCCGGCAGGAAGGTTAATGCAGCGTAAACTTCTCTACTACAAAACCGCATCAGCGTTTCTATCGGCGGCAACTTTGTTGCATCCACTTCTATGTCACACGGCGGGCGGCATCCACTGATAAAGCAATCTCGTTGTCGTTGTAATACAGCACTACAATGACAACTGCAGCCATTCAGTGCGATTTTTCATTTTTGTTATCGCTGCACCAATTGCAGTATTCGTAGACATGTAATATTTGTGGAGTGGTTGCAGGCGGGCTTAGGTATTACCTACCACAAGAAAAAACTTTGGCGTGACGTGCATTTTTTGCTTTTAATTTTGCTTTTTGGTACCACTTTGTAGAGGCGGCTGGATTTTGGTGCGCAGCAGATCGAGACCTTAGAAAATGCAAAATTATTAACTAATTTTAATTTGCATAGGCGGTCGGTGAAATTTCCACTAAGAATACGAGATAATAGATAAAATGACATGATAGTTCGATACGAATACGAAATGGTAGCTCTCACGTTAACTTTATAAGAAAGGGTGGGGGTGAAAAATTCGAAAGTCATTTACTGTAATAAAAGTATCAAGCTGGTGGTTTATTAACGCTTGTTTCCATTTTTTTTTACTCGCATAACTAAAAATAAATTTGTATAAACTAATCAGATTCTGTAATTGAGTATGGCATACTAAGCGATCTGCGGATTCATACGTATGGAAAACTCGATTCGCTTTTCTAGTCATACGTCGAAAACGTATGCATTCTCGATGTCTACGTTTTCCATCCAACAAAATTAGATTTTCACACAAAAACGGGTTTTTTTGGTTGGTCAGATATCACTTAAATTAATACAATAACAAGCGAATATTTAGTGCATTTTCTGGTTGGGTCGTAAATTACAAACTCTGTATCGAGAACTTACTGTAGCTAGAAGGACTGGCCCACTGGGAACGGACTGCGCAACGGTCGACTAGGTCATCACTGTCGCATACAGAAAGCAATGCTATGCTAATGCTTACCATAGTCCCACAGACTTTCTTGCCGCTTTTAAGAGATATTCTGACGTTTCTTTCTCATGAAATACTTTCTAAGATTTTAATAGATCATTTTGAATACAGAAATCCTAATTTGGAGGGGTAAAATTAGAAAATAAAAGAAACCTGCTAAGAAAGCTGACAAAAACCGTGAAAAATCCGCATCTGTCACCATGGCAGCCGCCCTCCCGTGTATGCGAGAGTGATGACGTCAAACGGTTGGTTACCAGTCCTCCTCACACTATAGTAAGTACTTGTCTTTATCTATGCAAATCTTTTTCTCAAAGGGCGCAAGAATGATGATGAGGAAGCAGAGACTCACACAACCTTTAACTCAGTTTATCTTAACATAATTATTTAAGTACAGTTATATTATATAAGTAGCTTTTTGCATAAACATAAATAGGTTCGACAAGTAGCTTCTTGCAGACCGAGAGTACACAGTATTGTCCTTACACATTTTTTGCTTGAGCTGCTTGTGTTCGACGGCGCAAAATTCCTCCGCCGGCCATAGTCACCAGCTTGTCGCTCTTCGGGTTTTGCTTCCATAACCTTGACATCGCCTTTCATAAAAATAACTTGTCAAATTGGAAATATTTTAACAATTTCTACAAGCATTTTGCGGCGCTTCAAGCTTGGGTGGGCGGTGCAATGTGTAGCGTGTTTAATGCCAGCAAGCTGGTCTCTTTAACGCGATAACCACTGACGGAGAAGAGCTACCTTTAAACAAACTGGCATATCCCACAACAGTCCCCATATGTTCATACACGCAACGGCAAGCGACCGCTTGTGTAATCCACTCTACGCAGCCGGCATAACGTACATACTAAGAATGATTGTTCCTCCAGCTATTAGGTAGCATGCACATCATTTGCTTCCTGCGTACAGAGCTCTGTACGTACTGTATTCCTAGCCATACGATTTCCCTCAGACCGCAGTAAACTGGGTCTATTCATACGTTTGGCAAAGTACTGGCATTGGGGGGTGCAAAGTGTAGGCTGATGTGTTCCTGCCTAAGAAAAATTGCAGTAGCCGGTAAGGATATTCTGCGGGACTACTCCCTTTATACAGTCGTTGGAACAGACGTCGCCACGTCCTTCCGCTTTGTGCGGGTTTCCATTAATTTTTCGAGAGTAACCCGTTGTTCACCTAGGTATCTTTCTCAATGCGGCTGTTACATTGTTGATTGCGGTAGCCATAGGTCACGGATCTCATGGAAGAAGACGCTGCCTTTTATGCCCGTTTAAACTGCACGATAAACAGCTCGGCGGATGTGCTGGGGTTTGTGGACCAGAGTGATCCCGGCTATCTGACCCGGAGATATAACCATATCAGCATTCTGCTCATTTTGGCCGGTTTCGGTGTGGTACTCAATGCCAGCATGATTGCGATCCTGCTGAAGAGTCCCATGTACCGTCATTCGACATTGAGCGTACTGGTAGGTCAACAATCGTGTTTTATCTGGAGACTGGAGTAGTTCTGTAGCAACAAATTTCATGCCGTGGAATAATTATCCAGCTCTGTTCCGGTAGTTACGCTACATGGTTTAAATTAAACTTCCATAATTATGATAGATAAAACTAAGATAAAATTTGCGCAAGCCATCTGCGCTCCCTTCATGAATCCTGCAAATTTTCGGGAAAAAGAATAGCGCGTGAAATTTACGACCAAAGGAGAATATGCACCGGTTCGCAGGTTTCGTGCTTTTTCCTATTGGCTACTGCTACTCACACTGACCAAAGCTTATAGAATATACAAAACCTGGAAGCAGGCATATAACACGGTGACGTCCTCGATCCAAATCCGCTGATTTGAAGGGAGCTCAGACCAGCCTCCTTAACAGTTGGCTAAAATTAATTCGAAAGTACTTCCTCGTGCCAAATAGGGAGATCCGCTTGCAGTACGAGGTGTACAAAACAATGTGGCGAAACGCATGTACCTTTTGAAAAAAATCTCAACCAAACCAGGAAGGTAATACAGATGTTGTGGAAATGCCCTATTCATCCCACTAATCGCGCTTTATTGTTTTTATGAATTCAGGTCATGTGCGTTCACATTTTAATGAATAGAAATTCGCTATGAAAATTCTCTAAAATTCATGGTTTGGAAAGGCGTACGTGATAAGTGCATAGAAAACTGGATAACCTTAACTTTTAGGTGTCCGCCGTGCAACAGACCTCCGCATTTTGAACGGCTAAAATAATACGATTTTTTAAACGACCGTTTTTGCCGTTTCTCCGTAGACTTTGGTGCTAACTCAGCAGAGCTCCGCTTTGCTGACCAGATCAGCTTCAAGGTTTATTACGTTCTATTGGCTTTGTACTGTCCCTGTTTTTGAAACTGCCGAAGAGGCGCGTAGGGTTGTTTCAAAATATAAAGCCAAAGCCGCATTTGCGATTTTCCTTATGCAAGTCCGTAGACTCTGTACTCTTGTGGAAAAACTGATTTTTACTGCATAGTGCAGTTTAAATTTTACTGAACACGGTCCAAGTGTGCTGAACGTTAAAAAGTTAGAAAATCAGATAATTTCGACGCCTGCAGCAATTACAAGTTCACAACCGCCCGATGTGCAAATTTTTCAAAACTTTCGTCCTTTTCCTTTTGGTTTTCGTTTCAAAAAACGGCTTGTCTTGCAGTACTTCAAAATAAGGAATTAGCAATCAAGCGCAAGAAACGGTTTTGCAAAATGTGCTCAGTGCTGTTTGGAAGGAAACGGAGGTGCCATCAACCAGTTTGCGTTAACGATGCTAAGAAAAACGACACAACATCAATCGAAAGTGAAATACGGCTACTTCTAGTGTTAATGAGTGTACATACTTAAACGGCGCATGTCACGAGAGAATAATAATGGGCTTGCCAGAATGCATTCAGTTTAACTGTTATTATCAATCAGGTATTTGCATCATGCGTGCATGCTGTAGTTAACGATATCGCTAAATTGCATGACAGCAATAAACAAGTATCTTCAAGAAGTTTTTCAAATATTTCCGTGATTTCTTCAAATGTTTAATTTTACAGCTTCTAATTAGTATTTACCAGTGCGGGCTCGCCTAACATTTGCAATTACCGACAAGCAACAAAATTGGTAAAACGCCTGTTAAAATTCAGCTGATTTTTCAGCTGATGCAGTTGTTTGCGGCTAATTTGCTGGTGTCGGTGTTCTGTCTACTGGCCGACGGGATCTGGAACATCACCGTGCAATGGTTGGGCGGAGATTTTCTCTGCAGAATCATCAAGTTTTGCCAGATGTTCAGGTGCGTTTTACAACTATCACACCACTAAACCTTACGTTTTCCCAGACCGGACCTTCAGTGGGCAACATAGTGGTGTGTTGATGTCTGACTTCCGTGTCGTGCGTACAAATAGCATGTCTGGTGCAGTGGCAGGATCCAGATGCAATGATCAGGCGCGCCATGAGCAGAGTAATTGACTCCCCGATGGTCCGCTACAGCTCAGTTGGAAAACACGCGTGCCTTTTAGCGGCACGGCGGGAATTTGTTGTTAGTGTACACGATACAATGAAGGTCGACTAGGGGCTAAGCGTGCCATGGATCGCGCTGGTCTCCGCTGTCAGCGATGGCAATTCTAATTGGTCAGGCAAACACTCCGCATGTTGCCGGCACGTTCAGTGCCGCATTCATCATTTTAGCTCGCTTCTCACTTTAATTTTATGCTCTCAATGAAAATCGATATCGTAACCAGGCATTGCTGATAAATTGAAAATCTCCTTAGCAGGGACGCAGAGCACTAAGAAAATTAATTAATTATTTATATAAGCTAATTTGATTACCACCAAGATGTTCAGGAAGTCGCCGTCCGCATTATTAAATCATTAAAACACACACGATTTCCTTAGCAAACCCATTTCTTTTGTCAAACTTATTAACCACTACACGCACCGTGCGCTCTGCTGCAAACGCCACCGGAAAACCGGTTTAGAGCAAAGCGGAATAGCGGCGCAGCACATCCCTTGCGGTTTAAACGTTTACGCAGACGCACACGTCAGTTGTTATCTCGTCCAGTATTGTTGTGTTTTCTATATTTAACTCGCATGTCATGTGCTGTAGCACACTGATTTTTAATAATGATATTTCAGTTTATACGCCACCAACTTGATTCTCACCGGAATGAGCATTGAGACTTGCATTACCGTGACCTTTCCGCTAACTAAATCCAGTAAGGTGGAGAGTCAATCCCGGGTGAAAATCATCGGCGGATCTGCATGGATCGTGTCGGCACTGTGCAGTGTACCTCAGGTAGGATTAATGGTTGCCACAATATCGGCAACCATTAATTATTGGTTGCCACAATATCTGCCGGTTCGGTCATGCAGTGCCCGCCAAAAGCGAGTGCACTTTCCTAATTATTAATTTCCACAGCATCTACAGCATCATGAGCCCGGTGCGGGCGGCATCACTGATGAACTGAGGTTTAGTTTGGTCAAGTTCACAACGGTTGCGGCCGCAATCGGTATTATTATACGCAAAAAAGCACCTTCTACCCGAATTCCCTAAAGGTTAAACACGAAAAAGGATACTAGTCCACACATGTACACGTTAATAATAAATGGTTTGATACCTGAGCAAGTTATTTTAGAATCAGTTGCGCGTAACCACATTAGAAAACATGACTGAATAAAATGTTTGAAAAGGTACTACAAGTATACCTCCAAGTATTTTAAAAACTGCTGCTAAAAAATGTCGGCTGTCGTTGGTCTAAGTAAACGCGCCATAGGGAAACAAATCACCTGGGGTTGCCACTGGTACGAATGTACTCCTAAAATCATAAAGCGCTTCTAATGCGAAATTATGGGAATACAAAACAAATGAGAAGTCATAGAAGAAATTTTAAAAAATGACTAACTTCTGATTACGTGAATGTGACCTGATGCAGCATTATTTATAGAAGTAGCAATAGTTTTGAAAAGGTTGCAGAACAACACGAAGTATTTCGTGTTTTCACGAAGCGATTTTTCAATACACACGCAAATAAATATTTGGAAGCAACATTTTGAATAACGCGCAGTTTATGTCTAATTTTAAACATATACGGAAAAATGGCCTCTTTTTGGGAATAATCAGTTTGTTGCATGAGCATACTCCATTATTAGGGTTTCATGGGAAATAATGAGGAAAACATCATTCACTTAGCCAAGCATCTTTTCAGGCGGTGATTTTCCATACGGAGCGCGCCCCAATTTGCGCCAGATTCCATCAGTGTGTTACGCACGGCTTCTACTCGAGCACCGACCAAGAGCTCGCCTACACCATGGCCACCCTCATCATCATGTGCTTGCTTCCGTTGTGCATTGTTATTATCTGCTATTTGGTGATTTCCGTGGTCATTACACAGGAATCACGGATTGCGGTCGGAAGTCCTAGTACGCGTCAGTTATAACAAAAAGCCGTCCGATACCATAATATTGTTCCGGTTGCGATTCCGCGATGCTTTGATTAATGTTGCTTAAGGACCATTAAATTTAATTACTATCGTGCCATTGAAATTTGAAAATATGTTGCACGTGTTCGTAGTTAATGCTATAGTTAATTCAACATAATTATACTCATTATCAATGAAACAAATTATAACTAATATGTATTATTACTATAACATTAACTGATAATATAGGTTTAATGTAATTACTGCAGCGGAACACATCTGGTTATCTAATGCTATGACTGGGCACACCCCCACATTTCACCGGATTTGATTACAGTTAATTAAGCATGTACACGTAGTATACTTTAACGGGTGGGGGGGGGGCGGAGTTCCAACGGATGAATTGAACCGTTTCATTTCGTCAGTTCGAGCCTCCAGTTGCTCTAGTAAGGGCGATCCCATCAGTCAGTCTAAGTATAACACTTGCTTCTTGCATGGAGCACTGTAGGTAGTTTGTTATCCTTGCACGACATTCGGATTACGCTTATCCAGATTCCCATATTTTGTGTTCTGCCTTTCGCGGGATGATAACCATTAATCACCATCCATGATCACTATCTCAGTGTGCAGGTGGACTCACAACGTTAGGGAAAAGCAAAAAAAGCACCACTAAAAACTAAGAAACAAAAAAATAAGAACAACAACTAAGTGATCAACATTCTATCAGGCAGCATGATTATATGTAGTCAATAGTGCTGTATAAACTATATTAATCAGTGATCTGTCGACTAAAGAGTCTCAGCTGACCTACAAGTGAAGTATCGGTCAACGAAATAGCGTTGACCGGATGTCGTTCCATGAATCTGTGGAACACCAAAAGCCGGGCAGCGAAACGGACCTCCCATAACTGACATGCTACCACTTCAAATAAAACTTTACTAACCAATCTTCAAAAGTAGCTGAAGCGTTTCTGTTAGAGTTCCTAACATATTACCTCGCCAATTATTTATGTGCAATATTACGAGTATGTAATATTGGTGTTATTACCAAATTTTTATTGAAAATGCTTTTATTCAACTCCTTTTTCTTGTTCAGATCCTGCCGTTAATTCGCGAACGTGCCCGTGTCAGTGTCACCTAGAAGAAACCAGCACTTTCATGCCTAATGTGCAGAATACCGCGATGCTCTGTCCGGGCAGAACGAGTCAGGGAAAACGGATATACCGGAAAACCCGACAGATATCCTTGTGGATGACTTTCATTACGGCTGCCAGCTTTGTTATGTGCTGGGGTGAGTTTGAGCAGTACGTATAACAATCGGAAAGTATGTAAATGTATACTCCTCTAGTTTTCTCTTCACACGTTAGGGAAAATCTTGTTTTCCCCGCACAGCTGCCGTTGAGTCGCTTACACGCTTCAAGCTGATCGAGTACAGTTTAAAACCTGCACTGCGGCAGCACGTTTTCTCACCGCCCTCTCGTTCAGTTGCATAACCGGATATTACATAACCGGATATTACGGGTTGCCACAAACCGGTTCTAAATTGCAGTCAGCTTTAAGCGAGTAAGCGACTAAGCGGCAGCTGTGCAGGGGAAAACAAGATTTTCTTTAATGTGTGAAGGGAAAACTAGAGGCCCTCTGCGAAGTACAATTTCTCTAAAAATACAACACGCTTGCGGTGTAATGACCAAATTAAACTTCCGTTTTGGTTGATTCCAACATAGATCGCGCTCTCGTAGTATTCCACGAGATTATAATTTAGTCGTTTAAAATCAAGTGATCAACACGTTCTGACTGTGGCCTCGTGCGTTGTAGTGCCGTACTATGTGGGAATGTTTGGGTATTTGTTCCACTGGAGTATTTCCACTGAGACAATGACTATCATATTCTGTCTGGGTAAGCACCGCTTCTTTGCAAGCGAAAAACATTGAAGATAAAAAAACAAAAAAATCCTTGAAAGATACGTAATATTATGATAGAGCCAGAAAATGAAATAAATTAGATAAATATAGCATAAGCAACAAAGAACAAGGTGTCGGTGTTTTCTTATGAATGTTTATGTGTTTGGTTACAGTACTTTCAAATCAAAGAAAACCAACATATAAATTAATAAACAGATAAGAAATTGCAGTGGCCTGACACAACTTTGTTTTAATCAACACAGGAATGAGTTTTTCGGTGGTCAATCCCATTATTTTTGGTGGATTTTTATTGACCCGTCACGCCATCTGGAACAATCAACAAAGGCATTACACAGCTGGACGACCTTCTGCTTACTCCTCCATTTTTTCAACAGTGCATGCACCGCACTTTGCTTAAGCATTTTGTTGTTTGCACTTGTCGGGTTCTGTTGCATCTTCGCGCAAAGCGCTTATTTAAACAGATAATTATCGGTTTTATTGGCAGTACGAGTAAAATTAATGGGTGCGACAGGAACCTTTGGTTTTTGACGGTTCTGTTAAGATACGGAATTGGTGCTGCAGGAAGCCTATGATTGTTTAAATGAGTTTACTCTGTAGCCAGACTTGGGCCGCCAACGAAATCTCCGCTTTCGGCCCGCCCCGCTCTTGCTAAAAATTTTCCGCCCCGCTCGGGCCCGCCTTAACAAAAAAATTTCCCACTTCCGCCCGCCATATCTTAATTTCCCGCCACCCGCCCGCCAAAAATATGAAAAATTTTTTCAGTGTTTTTCATTTTTTATTTTGTTTTCGTTTGTTCTTCTTCAGAAATGTCTGCTCAAAGACCAATTTTCGCGCGAAGCGCGAAGTCAACAACCAGTTTCGCCGCAAAACCGTTAGAAATTCTATAAAAAACGAGTAGAATATTTCAGTAAATGATCTTAAATTTTATTTTATGCTTGATCTCCGCCCGTCTTTAAAATAATCCCGCTCCCGCCCGCTCACACTTTTTCCTCCCCGCCCCGTCCCTCCAAACTCAAAACTTCCGCCCGCTCCCGCCCTCCAAAAAAGCGGGGAGGGGCGGGAATGGCGGAAAATTTTCCCGCTCCGCAAAAAGGCGGCCCAAGTCTGCTCTGTACTCAAAAAAATCTGGAACGCCGATGAAATAAAATAAACCTTCAACTATTTTTGCCACTCAGCATTCATCACTATGACCGCCAATGGCGGCCATACTGCGGTCATGCCTGCAACATCAACAACATCCTGGAAGTAGTATCGAAGTTCTGGAGATGTTGGCATGCTGCTGAACACGACACAAAACCACTCTGATGGGGATCATCGCGGCTGAATGATGTCTACGACTGAATGCCCGTAAAAAAGAACCCGTGAGGCTGAGGTCATCGCTTGTGCTGTACTGGATGTTGCTGTTACTGTATATTATCGAATTGTGTGACTGAATCATAAGAAAACATATATTCCGATAATACTGTAGCCGCCCGCACAAGTTGCCCCACAGAGTGAGGTATACGGACATTTGCACCAACATTGCCCGCTGTTCAGCGCAGTGTGTGCAGGGCGAAGGCAACGGCCGGATCTACCACTGGAGCAACTTGTGCGGGCGGCTACAGTAACTATGGCGCTGAATTTGAGGGCAGTACTGACTACTGACGTTGACCAGCATTGGACGATTTGCAGCGCAGGGCGAAAAGTAGGCTGTATGGGTCGAAATAACGATACCTTCGTCACGGAATTCTAGATTAATGCAACCAGGACTTAACGATACTACGATAGTTGTAGCAAGGCATAACACTAGGCAAATAACTTTTGCGTGCTTTGGTAGACGGAGCGCAGCGTTACAAATTCGAGGTAGTTTCTTAACGTGTACAGAGTGTTTGATTGGTGAGTGAAAACTAAATATCTCCGTAGTCCGTACTACAAATACTGCGAAGCTTTACCACAGTAATTTTGTAACAATTTGTATACGGATAATACTGCTGTTGATCAGGAAATTCTCATCTTGTGCAGTATGATAGTGTGCGATTCAGCAGTGGCTTTAATATTTGTCACAAGCTTCGGGTAAACAAAGTGAGTAAAATAAAATCCAGAATGCAAAGTCATTCGCAGTTTGTACTATGCAGTAGAGTACTGAATCGCAGCTACCAGATGGATTTTCTACTGTCTTCTGAACTTTTGCACATGGAATTATTTTGATAAGATAATATGGTGGTATACAGTATTCACTTACTACGTTTTTGCAAAAGATTAAATTTTTCCGACGTATTATTATTATTCGTCTGTATATATATATATATATATATATATATATACACATATATATATATATATATATATATATATATATATATATATATATATATATATATATATATATATATATATATATATATATATATATATATATATATATATATATATATATATATATATATATATATATATATATATATATATATATATATATATATATATATATATATATATATATATATATATATATATATATATATATATATATATGCTTCGATTTTTCATGCATTTTGATCACTTTAACTACGTATACGTTTTCCTATTTTCATTACTTGTGTGAAATTGTGATACCTGGTTACCGATATTAGCGATATATTATGAAAACACAAACTTAACGGGATCAAAATTTGGAATACTTTGATGTTGCTACGATAGTTGTAGCAAAGTATAACACTACTACGTCTTGGTTTTAAATGCCGAAAAGTGTCGTTGTCTTGCTCTTTCAAGAGGTATTCCATGCGAAACGGCGTTTAATCCAGCAAAACCAGGGAATAGAAGGGACAGAACTACAGTTTTGAAAATTGTCAGTCTGGGAAAGAAAAATTCAGTTAAGAGAAAAATATTTTTTTCGAAATTTTAGCGACCATAGGTCAAGCAGGAGATGACCATGTCGGATTAACACGCATGGTAACCATGTTGCACCGACATGATGTCTAATGCCGCTTATAACAACATACAGAAAAATCGCACGGAGTACGTCAATAACTCAAACGATAGATCTCAACAAGTATTTCAAGATCTGTGCATTCCGCTGGTCATCGGGATGACCAGTGGCCAAGGAAAATAAAAACGAGAAAGTGCTGACTAGCACCATTACATAAGTATTACTTGGTATTTCGCATTAGTTGGTCACATCTGCTTATGTTCTAGACAACTGGTCATCGGCCTTAATGTAGATAACTGTAATGCACACAGCTCGAGTGACGTGTACAGTGGAATTAATGCTATTTCCGGTCGTGTAATTGAACGGGATACCGGAGTAAAGAGCAGGAAACATGCTTGTGATGGTCTCCAATGTTCATCCAATGTTAATTGACCGGTTGCAAATTTCTTCAAAGTGTTTTTACAAGTGAGAGAAGCGACAAGATATCGAGAAATACGGAAGTTTCGCGTAGCAAGGTTAGTAAGTTCTGCTAAAAAAATCTGCCACTTACATATATACAAAACTACAAATTTTAGTACTCATAAAGAAAGACAGTAGTGCTAAGCCATTCCTCCTGTCCGTTACATCTTCCGCTGTTCACAGACAGATTTGAGATTTCTAAAGGTTACGAGGTACGGGCGCTCAAGAACCGGAAGGTCCGGATTATGTGCTGGGTTATTTTGATGCAAGGGCGAGAGCTCAACTGGCCGAGTATTAACGCGAGGTTAATAACATTTACTGGATTTCTCTCTTATTGCTATAGTTTAATTAACTTGAAATCAGCAAAGAATTAAGTTGAAATCAGTAAAGAGTATACAAATTCTCACCGGAACAAGAGAGCAGCCATTGTACATGGTCATAATAACGGAACAAGAATATAGAACAAGAATATTTACTGCACCGTTTTTATGCTCTTACATTGTTGACTGCTGGCACAGGAGTGATATACAAGCACTGCTCTATAATAAAGCAAGACTATAACCTGATGGCTGATGAGGCCAGGACAACAGCATGCGAATCATTCGCACCATAGAACAATGCGCACGGACGGCACAAAATGCTACTACAGTGGAAGTTTTAACAGTGAAACCCCCGACAGTAGATCCCGAACATCCCCAACCCTGAGCAACCCCGAATCTCGAACAATTTTTTTCGTACGCACAGCTCTCGTGAGCTATAACATTAGGGCCGTGGGACTTTTAACCTTAAACACTCGGCTGCGTACCGCGATACGTTTTCTTAGTAAAACGGACCTCGAACCGAAAATAGAGAGAGCGGCTTCGCTGTGTGTGCGAGGGCACCGGGAAGGATTGAAAGCTTTCGCGATCTCATCGGAAGCAAACCAGCAGAAAATAACGTCAAACAAACTTAACAATAAGTACAGTTAAATATGCATACCCTATTGTAGAATGTTATACGCTCTAATATGCAGGTCATTATGTAGT